CATATGGGCACAATGGAATGACCTTTTGGGGTGACATATTTGTGTGATGCCCTTGTCAAGCAGGTGTACAAATTCGCTTGGCCGTTTGCAATTGCACCTACGAAAACTTGGCAACTGCCGGGACATTTTGCAAAGTTGGGTTGCGTTCGGTAGCGGTACATTGCGAAGATGAGGTCCAACTGATAGCTGGGGTGTTTCGCAAAATATTTTTGTCGTCGTCCTTCGCCACAGTTGCGGCAGGTCCACTTGTTATTAGTATCATTATTATAGTAATTATATTATTATGGGAAACCCCATAGCAACCACAACCGTATTCAACCAGGGAATATGCGGGAGTTGCACCCACCAGTACAATGCTTTGTTGTTGAGCGAGGTCCTTAGTTCAACCAACTAAAAGTAGGAAGTCAAACTGTAGTCGTATCCGAGTTTAGTGCGGTTTGCCCTTACCAGTGCTGCTCGATTGGACATTGTAATGGCGATGCATTAAGTAGAGTCTACAGTGAAAGGGGTGTTTGGTAAGATAATATGTGAAGTGCTAGTGTTGGTGGGAGTCCACCGGGAATAACACCCAAAGTTTTTTTTTTTTTTTTAATTAATATAACTTTTCTTTGTAAAACAAACGAAGGGTACGAGGTTGGGAAACCCCACAAATTCTTGAACATATATTGGGGTCATTATCTTGTTTAGGCTCATGGAAACCGAGTCCACTGTCCCTTCTCATAAAAGTTCCCCCCTCCCCCCTCAAAAAAGGTTAATCCCTAGGGAAAACCAATACAACCCGATCACTACCAGCAATACCCTGCTTCCCTAATGTAAAAAGAGACTCTATGGTGGGGAGCGTTTTCCTAGTGGGGACAACAACCACTAACAAAAATGAAGTCTTCCAACAGAGTCTAGTTTAACTAAGGAGGAGTTTTTCCCCATGTATCCCAAAATCGTTTCCTCGTTTTCTGAGTCCCTGAGAGTTTTCTCCTGACACATCGCTTATGATGGTCAGTCTTAACTGATTTGCTACCAATGATTTAACTTGACGATCCGAACTTTTGGAAGATCTGAAGAGCTGGTTGGTCAAAATTTTTTCATCAACACTGCTCTACAATTATGAGCTACATATAGCCAATTTTGTTTCTTTATCGTAGTGATGTGTGCCATAAAAAAAAAATTATTTCATCAGACCATTGAAAAACCTCTTTTGTAAACCTTTTCTAGTGTTCAATCCACCAATCACATATTCGTTTGGAAGCCGGATAAATCAACCATAGATGTTTGTTATTCTCCCGTGGCCATCTGCATCTGGAGCAAACTTTGGAGATCTTTATTTCTTTTTAGGCCGAATTAGTGGCTGAGGCAGCTGCAAGGTAAGTGTGTAGCCAAGCAATGCCTCCTAACTTTTCAGATGACATTGTCAAAAACTGTTGCCACAGAGAACCCAGTAGTTCTTCCAACAATTGCGGCAGGTCCGCATCCACTCTTTTCTTGATAATTGGGACTGAGGGTGTTTTTTTTAACGGTCGATATGAGAATCATTACCCTTGTCTTTGCCTTATACGAGTTTAATGACACCTTTCTCCCCTGAGAATTAATGTAGCCGCCTGTTGCCCTCACGTCGATAATCATCTGAGCTAAGTCTTGTAATCCCAACAGGAGGGACGTAGTTTATTGAGTTTCTCTCACTCCTGGTAACTTTTGAGAGTTAAGTCTACTACCATTTTTTTCGCATCCTTTAGATGAAAGGTCCTAACTTCATTGGAAAGCGGTTACAGTTCTCTTCACTTCCCATTCCTTAGCAACCCGACCGTCTGTTCCCAGGTCATTAATAATCTGTAGGACTAGCGAAGGGGTCTTAAACCATCGCCCCATAAACATACTATCTGGGTTTTTCAGCAGTAAAATCTAAGAAGGAGGGATGACCTGCAGCAGAGCAGAAAGTCTGCTCTTAAACCACCAATACCTCGCTCAGCTAAAAAAAACCGACGTGACCGTTAACGCGCCACGTCCGGCGGGGTACCCAGTGCCAACGACCGGTAGCCCCAAGAAAAACGGAAAAAAAAAAAAAAAAACG